ATGAAATATTTTTACGAAAATGTTATCTAGCCCAAATGATCCATCGTGTAAATGTGGGAATAAGAAATCATCCCACGATAGAAGTTGTATATTTGATGCGATCAGTACCACGGAATGGAAGACAGAGTCAGACACGAAAACTAATCAGACTACTGCTTATGGAGAAGTTAAATTTGTAGGAGCTATTGGCAGTTTTGCAACTTCCAAAGGAAAAAAGGTATGTTTTACAAATTATACTTATTATTATTTTTTCTTTAATTCATTATTCTATTTACAACAGTTTATATTAAATATAGTTACAAATGCATTATCGATATATTAATAAAACATAGGGAGTATTACAAAAAACTGAATTCAAATTTTATTTGTGTAACACCAAAAGGAATCTATAAAAAAACATCATAAAGGTACACCCGATACCAGAAAACATATTTTTCAATGAAGCCTAGTTTCCTTAAAATCGCTACACTGTCGCTACACCAAGCACTACGCAGTATTAGCTGTCTCTGACACAATCGGGAAGGCACCAGTGGTGTAACTACGGCAGGGTCAGCAGGTTCATCGAACTTGGGCCCCAACCTCCAGGGGTCCCTGATCTATAAGCGCCCCCTTATTAAAAAATCTAATAAATCAATGCATAAATAACAATTTTGATTGATAGTATTTATCTTTATGTAATACTGCACATTATAATTTAATAATTAATGTCGAAATATTGAATCCCGACACGATGGCGTGCATAATTTTCAAATTGTCAAAAACAATCACTTATACATGCCAGGCCCTTATGCCTGTTGTAAAAAGTGTCACTCAAACACTAGATGGAAATATACAGTAAAAGAGATATGGCACTGCAATTAGTGAAACAACGCTTAAGTGTTTGAGTTTGGAATATTGATGTCGAACGAAAATTCAATTTCGTATATTAACGAGGGGACGGGGTGTCATATTTTTACATTAAACATGAATTTAGTTGTTGAATTTTGTTTTCGCCACGACAGTTTTTGTAATCATTGTTGATATAATTCTTGTTGACAGTCGTTTTACAATAGGCCTGTATTTTTCTCGGATGTGTTTCCCAAAACCGAAACTGCATAATCTATACATGATTCGATTGTGCCTATGTAATAAGCAGAGACTGGTGCATTTTTTTGGCCAATTTCTTTTTAGGTATGAATCTTGGAGCTTACAGACGTATGTGTCGTCTGATAGCACCATGTTTTCGTAGTCTATCTCTAAACCCAAATATTTTATGTTTTAATTGTTCGATACGTTTTCCGTCGACATGAATATTTAGGACATCAGATGAAAGTATATGGTTTCTAATTAGCATGTCTTTGTTTTAATTGTATTTTCAACTTCAGACATAATTTACCAATATTTTTTAAAATATTTTGTAATTTTGTATTTAATCTATAAACTTTGTGTTCCTTAAACATAAATAGCAACATTATCCGCAAAAATACTTCAAGTACCAGGAAAAATAAATGTTGAAATATTGTTTATGAATAATAACAAAAATATAATTGGACCCAAGACACTACCCTGTAGTATGCCAGTTCCGATCATTTGGGGTAACATTTGGCTATTTGCTTCCTTCCAGCCAATGGGCCAAGAAATCATTGAATAATAAACAAATATGCTCGACAGAGTACGAACTCGTGTGTAGAATCCCTGGGGCGAATATGCAGG